TGATGCGCCAAGCCCGGTGCATGCAATATAGATGAATGGATGAATGCATGCGAGCATAAAGTATGCTAATCAAAATATGACCTAGAACTAACCAACGTAAGCGGTTAAGTAAAAGGGAGAAAGAAGTGGAGGTTGGAAGACATGCATCACACACACGCACGCTTATTACATAATTCGCCCTCTCGAGGGAGGGACTGAAAGAATAATACAGATTAACTAACTAACAAGCTAATTAATTATTACACAACACTTAACTAATTAACAAATTAATTAAGCTAAGAAAGCAGTAAAGAGGCCTCGAGAAGAGGGATGAATGCATGCATGCTCGGCTTTGCTCGAAAATCCATCGCCATGTCACATGCTGCCTCTGTTTACACTGCTCTGCACCTCTGAAGACTGCACAAGTCCTAAGGATGCTTCTTAACCACCTTCTGAGCACTGTGGGATGTCACCGGCCATGGAAAAGTGGTCATCGACCAGAAGTATGGATCTCTGCCATAAATTTATAGTCGGCCGGCACTTAGTGTGGTCGGTCGACCATCTCTTCCTGCAGAATCCTGTTTTGCTGTAGCAGAGGACAGACAAGGCATGGCAATGCATTTTCAAGGCAATGTTTGCACCGCCACCCTCCTTATCATGTTATGAACTCAAGGGAGGATGGTCCTCGACCCTCGGACCATCAATCACGCGTTTCGATGCATGATGGCCAAAGAGTCAAGTATGCATTTGATATCAAATTAAATGCACACAAAACAAATAAAAGGCCTCCAAACCCTATCATAATTGATTCAAGAGGCAAGAGATGCATGCAATGATATGCAACCTAAGCATGCAAGTAAGCTAATGCAACATGAGCATGCAAGCAAGTAATGTGCACTAGGCATACAACTTAAGCGGGTAAACATGCAAGGCATGAAACAATCAACACCAATGACACACATGCAACAACATGTGGCCTAACAAATATGTAAGATGGGTGAACATGCAACAACATGTCAATAGACTTACAACCTAAACAATGCAACCATACATGGCACACAACAATAGGCAAAATGAAGCAAGCATGCGACAACATGCAAGACATGCATGCAACAACATGCGAGGATGGTCTTAAACCAATATGGGCAGCTCTCAAATAAGCCCAAATCAGCGGCCACAATGCTATGGAATGAAAGACAAAACCACATACAGACATGCATGTATAATGGTCCAACACTCTAGCACGAAAGGGCAACTTTTAAGGACACTTAAAGGGGGGAAACATGGACATATGACAAGCATTTTAATGCTCTGAAAACATGCAGAGGATGATGCCAAATCAACCAAATAATGGAAGCAAGTCATGCACAAAAGCTTGAAACTAGCCCAAGGGCTCAAACCATGGTCATGTGACACATGAAGCAAATGACCAAAGTGAACCAACACAGTTCTAAATCATGCCAAAGTAAGCCTAAAACATGTAATGACCAATGCCAAAACAAGCTAAAAACAAAGGGGCAAGACATGAGGCATACAAGGCCACCAAAGAGGTGTTACACTACACCTAAGACAACCAAATATGGCATGATTTAAGCAGCCAAAATCAGAGATATGTCATGCTAAAATGAGCCCAAAAATCCACTTAGATGGCATCCCAAATGCCTAGACATGATGACATACGCAATGACATATTCATGAGGCATACAACACAAACTCTTTAAAGCATTAAAGGAGTTATAAATGCAAGCATACAAGCATACCATATGGACTGAAATACCATTACAAATGATGCCAAACCACTGAAATGGTCTAAGTAAAGCATGCTAGCAACTTGGACACCCGAAGCCAACAAGCTAGAATACATGGTAGCTATACAAGACAATGCAAGCATGACCAAAACAACACCCAACAGACCTTAAGCATGGTAAAACAAGCCTAAAAGCTTCATGGAGTTGAGCCAAAATCATGCTAAAAGAACATGTTACAACATGGTGCATGTTAAGGCCAAAACATGGGATTACAAGACAAGTATATGAAGCATACATGGCATGTCTAAACCAACTTGAAACAGAGGTATAACATGGCAAAACAAAGCCTAATACCTACTGAAATGAAGCTAAAACAAGCTAAGCATACAAGCTACAACACAAGCCATTTATGCAGGCATTAAAGACAACAAGGAGAGGGGATGACCCTCTCCTATTTAGGACCTCAAAACCACCTCTCCACCACTGAAAATCCTTTGGATTTCAGTGGTAGAGAGGTCATGCAAGGACCAAAGCAATGGCCAAAAGGTATGGCCTTAAACAAGGCCTAACATGGCCTTGGAGGGGGGAAACAACCCCAAATCTCAAAGTAACTTTAAACAAAGTTCTAAAGCACACAAAATCAGAACTTTTATTAATTATAGTCGAAGCTTAAAACAATAAACAAGAATGGCTAAAAGCTTAAGCAAGAAAGGGGTAACTAAAGTAAGAATCTTACCCTTGAAGAACACCTTCAAGAACAGAGCTCCAGCAGCCTCTCCAAGCTTAAATCAACTCAAGAACCCTAACAATAACCCTCTAGTGCCTCTACAACCCAAGGATGGTGTAATGCTAGGTGTTCAAGTACAAAAGTAAGACAAAAACTCACTTTTGATGCATAAAATGGGATCAAACAAGGGAATATAGATACAAATCTATATCTCACTCTCTAACCCTAATTTTTAGAACCTCTGGAACTCTTGAGGAGGGAGGAGAAGCTCCCTCTTTATAGAATTCCAATCTTTGCAAAGCTTCTAAAACAAGCTAAATAAGAGGCAAATCCCTCCATATACGTGTATGGAGGGGGTGTATTGTGGATGCCAGCTGTGACAGCTGGCATAAAATATCTGCCAAAAGCAGATGGAAAGGGGTCAACCAGCAAAAATGGCCGATTAACCAACAAAGGTGGCCGACCGACCACAAAAGGTGCCGACCGGCCACAACCTTTGGCCGATGGCAAGGAAACAAGGCCGGTGGCATCATGCCATGGCCGGTGGGCTGAGGGAATGGCAAAAAAGCCACTCTCTACCCTCAAAAGCAAAAACCAACAAGTGTTTGGTCTAACCAAACACAAAATAGTCAAGTTGAGAGATCTTGAGGCAAGGCGCGTGGCCGAGACCTCCGAGAACTCAAAACAAACACGAACATGGATGATCACCGAGTGTTCAAACGGTGACGTCCAAGTCTTGAGGACGGTAAAAAATGGGGTGTCTACAGAAACCGTCAAGGTTTTGAAGAGTCAGCCCAACGTCTCATGCACGAGACTTGTCTTCGCCTCTTTTGTTCTTTTGTTATAGTTTTGTTACGTTGGTGAAAACATTGAACTACTTTTGTATATAAACTTTGAGTTTGACTGACTTAGACTTGAATGATCCGGTATGGACAGTTTATATGTTAACTTCCCTTTTGATGTGAGCTATTAATGAATACTTATGTGAAATGTTATGACGTGCATATAAGCACAGCTCTATGGACAAAGTTTTAAATTTTCTTCCATTTGGCCCCTCTACTCTGATGAGTTATGTCTTATATGGTTTGAGGCCATAGGTAATCCCTTGATTACTGGCTGGTTATGGCCTTAACCCATAGGGGTTGGTTCGGGTCATGACAGGAATAGTCTTACCTCGCAAAACTTGATCCCGTGTGTCTAAAACTTGAATTGGTCTCTCCTCATACATGGCATCGTCATCCATCTCTAACTCAAACCAATCCAATACATGTGAAGGAACAGGTTTGTGACAACTTGAAAATTTTTCTTTTTCATCGCTCGAGCGGATTGTTCGTTCAAGCGATCTTGCAGGTCTTTTGCAAGTCAGAACTTTTGGGAGTTCACGTTCTACGCTCAAGTAAAAGTTTCATTACTCGAGTGGTCTTGTGTCTCTGACACTCGAGCGCAAGTTTTATCGCTCGTGCGGTCTATTCGGGTTCAACACTTTAAAAAGCCACTTTTGGTCAAATCTGGATCTCTCTCTATCTCCCTCTCTCTCCTGCCATTTTTTAGGGTTTCAAGCTTTCTAGCTTGGTTTTCATCTATCTCCACTCACTCTCTACCCTTAGTTCCATATACCAAAATGTAGAGCATAAAGAGAGCTTTCTAGTAATCTGAGCGGATCGTGTTTTCGTCAAAGTTGAAATTTTGGGTTTTCTCCTCTTCTTGATAGAAGTAGGGATTTCTTTGCTCATTTTCAATACTTCCTTATAGATAGACATGTGGTATATTTCTATTACATAAAAAGTAAAATTTAGTTATGTGATTTGAAATTCATGTAAAGGGGTTTTTGGGTTTAAGTTGTGAAAAGTGAAATTGTATGTTTTTGGTATATTGAAAGGTAGTCTATTTTGTTTATGTTATGAATGAATGAGAAACCCTAATTTTTATTATTAAAGGTTTGATGAAATAAAAAGGGGGAAAAGTTAAGTAATAGTTAGGTTATGTATTATGTAGATTGTATTAATATTGTAATTGTTAAAAAGGGAACTAATCGAGATATCGAAATTGTTTGAGAAATATATGTTGAGTTAAGTTGGGTTGCGATTTTGTTATCTATGGATTTGGATTTGTTAAGGAAGAAAAATTAATTTTTGGATAATGATTGGAAAACAACGGATTTACATTTTGGAAATAAATGAAATCGAAATTCCTTTACAAATCGATAAATGAACGGGGTTAATCTTCGGGCATATTAGATGTTGTTGTTGTTGGACCTAATGTCTCATGAAGAAGCGGATTATTGTATTAAGCATATTGAATGTTTGCGTTTAGAGGTTTTGTCCTTGGTCATCAGTGGAGGATGACATTGTTATGTTGAATAGATTATGTGTATGAAGTACATTTGTATTATTTGGGTGTTTAGCATGTTGTGATGATTGATAATGTACATGCGCTAAGAATGAGAGGTACTATTATCTGTCAGCTAGTGCCTGGAGAATTGGCCACACTTAGAATTAGAGGTACCATTTTTGCAAAGTCTTAGACTAAAGAATTGTGAACAATAGGTTCTTGATCTAAAGGTCGATGATTTGCAAATGCTTCCACGACTTGAACAAATGGAGATGGATAGGTGTGGCTAATAAATGCATGAAAATTCTTTCGAGGGCGAGCATCATTATCTAACAACTCTTCATATGCTTGATCTATGTCAGAGAAGGTTTGTTTGGCCATGCGAACTGTATCAGTCTTTTCGAATGCTCAGATAGTGGGAAATGTTCAAGGTGTAGAAAGGAATTTAATGTAGTCGGTTGCAGTTCTAAGAAGATGCAAAGCCCATGCACGTCCTAGGACGTGGGTAAAGGGCTTTGATCCACTAATATCACCAAGTATTGGGTATATTAGTGCGGGGGGTAATATTGGCTGTATAATTTGTATAAGCCAATCACAATTCAACACGTGGCTTGAAAAGGGAAATTTGGGGAGTTAATACAAATTGCTAACCATAGTCAAACACATGTCAGCCCATATTGGTAATAATGGGTCTGCGTAGCATTGAAATGATCGAGGGATATAAGATGATATGATCTAACGGTTACTCACAAGGTTCAAATTCAAAATTAACAGGGAAGCCTAACTGCAAATATGGTGTAGTGGGACTCACTGTGAGAGAGCATTCTTAGCAATCATGGAGGGACATTGCGACAGTTAGGAGCCCACTTCGACGGTTATCATTGAGAAGTATAAATAGCGGAGAAGACCCCAGAAAGGAACATCCAGACTTAGATTAAAAAACCAGTTTTATTTACTTTATTTTCCCTTCTAATTTTTACAGTTCTTTACATTTATGTACTTCAAATTCCTGTACTGCACTTCATTCATAGGAGTAGTTTCAAATAGCTTGTTGCTGTAAACCTCTATGAGGTTGGGTAAGTTTTTCATTTTACATAATGAAATTATGAAATTATTCTTCACTTAGTTGTTATTTATTAAATTCTCGTAAACAAGTCACCAGTAAAAGTCTTTTTCATTGAGGCTGAAAGAACTAAAACACAATCGTCTGATAATTGATTGGCAATTAATCTTCTGTAAGGACTGATTGATCCTTACTGGCATGCTTAAAATTACATCACTAACCTTCGAAAGCCAAGAAAGCCAACATATATTTTTGGTACGCCCAGTGGGGCTAATTGAAATGGTTAGACGTAGAAGACAAGGAGAAAATGAACGCCTAGAAGAAGGTGTAGAAAGAGAGGTAGAGGTACTTGATCCAGAGGATAATGTGATAGCATATCCTGTGGAAGCACCTATCTTGTCAGAACCTATGGTTGAACAGGCCAGTGATTCAGAATAGGCATACCATATGTTCAAAATATTGGACGAGGCCATGGAATTGGACCATCCACTATTTCATCTACTCAGCCAATAAATCCATAGGGAGGCCTGGTAGATGCCATGGGACAGCAGTTAATGAACACAATGGAAAGATGGGCAATATCCTTTATGGATCGGATGAATTCCCATCAACCAACTAACACAAGGCATATGAAGGAAAATTCAAATGTTCCTCAGCAAAGATTGGCTAGAGATAAACAACCTATGCAAAGTAATGGACATACTAGTAATCAAAATTATGAAAGACTATTACCTATACCTCAGTCTTGGTATGAGCCTCTATTGAGGCCTATGGTAAATCAAAATGCCTCATTACCTAATAGTGAAGTCATACAGATTAGTGGATTTGGGCCAACACAAGAAAATTGCATGAGATTATTTCCAAATCCCATGTTCAAAGCCATACCTGGCACAAGGGGGTTCACTAATCCCTTGTTCGAATTTACACCCGAGGGGTTGGAAGGGTTTCTTGTGGCTAGAAGATGAACAACTCATGTTCCTCCTATTACAGCGCTCTTCGCAGGTTCTTTCGCAGGACAGGCTTAGAGAGGTCAACCATACCCTTAATAACAGCCAGCACCATAGGGACAACCAGTCCCAAATATACCTCCCTATGGATCAAGAGGACCTCAGACACAAGGTTTTCCACTAAATCCTATGTTTGTTCCTCTAGTGGTAGTCCAACAAGCACAAAATATGGTTCCTAGGGACCAAATTGCCGATATTGTCAGAGAAATGTGTGGACCTATGGCTCGGGGGGTTCAAACTCCTGTGTATAAGAAACCATACCCAGAATGGATTGATAGGGTGCATCAATACCCAAGGGGGTTTAGAATACTAGACTTTGCTCTTTATTATGGGAATGGAAACCAGTCAACAGTAGAACACATTGTTAGGTTCGTTGCCCAATGTGGTGAATTTACTAATAATGATCACTTGAAGTTAAGACTTTTTCCAAATTCTCTAATAGGGGCAGCTTTTGTATGGTATATTAACCTTACATCTGGCTCTATCCAAACTTGGCAGCAAATGGAGGAGGCATTTCATGCCCAATTCTTCTAAACAGAGCCCGAAGTTTCCACGGTAGACTTGGCAAGGTTGAGTCAAAGGCCTGATGAGAAGGCTGTTCCATTTATTTCCAGATTCAAAAGAGTACAAAACAAGTGTAGGGTCATTCTACTAGAGCCTGAATTTGTGAGATTGGTTCAAAATGGTTTAGAGTTTAGGCTTCGAAAGAAGTTTGACTCAACTGAGTTTCGAGACTTAGTGGAATTAACCTATAAGGTGTCTAGATATGGATCATTACTTGAGAAAGAGCAAGATCGAAGTAATGCATCATACAAGACTTATTATAGAGATCCTAATTATGAGATTGATGCAGCAGAGATCATAGGGAACCTGTGATCTGTGAGGCGTTAATTCATAAAGACACTACGATAGACCAGCAGTTTAAAAAGAAAGACCTTCATAAGAAATACTCTTTCGATTTAACAAAGGCAAATAACATTTTTGATTATTTGTTTGCAGCAAATTTCCTAAAGTTACCAAAAAGAGTTAAAATTCCTTCTCCAAAAGAACTTAAGGGAAAATGTATTGTAAATGGCACAATTCTTGGTCATACTCAACTAAAAATTGTATTGTTTTTCGGGATAGGATCCAAGAACATATTCGAAAGGGGAGTTTAAAATTCCTAGCTAAAGCAGAGAAAGCTATGGAGATTGACACTAATCCATTCCCAGAGATTGGAGAAGTTACAGCCAATGTTATTATGCCAGACTTCCAGAACTTATCCTTGAAGGAATTGGAAGAGGTTAATGTGCAGATGTATGTTGCCAGCCAGACTACTGTCAATAAAGATGCCAGAAGTTCACCAGAGAATGGGCAGAGCTTTGTAGACCAAAGGGAGGACTATAGTGAGGAGGCACTGGATGATGACTCTTTAGAGGTAGTTGTCATGCAAAGGATGTGTCCTAGATGCAGGTTAAGTTACAAATGGTTGAAAGGGCTCCCAATTGATGGGAAGCAGTATTACAAGGATGTGCAAAGACGTCCTAAACCAACTAGTACCTACAACAAAAGGCCATACCCAACTGGTCCCAGACAGCAACCATTCTTGGTTGGACCAATAGCCACTAAAGTGCATTCCAAGGGCAAAAGACCTCTACATGAGTTCAGACCACCCGACTACTATAGAATGGAGGGCAATCATCCTGAGAGGAGGCCTGAAGTGGGTTATGGAATCAGAGCTAGAGATTGGCCTCCTAGACCAGCCTCAAACAAGATGGAAGGTAGCCACCCTGATGGAAGGCCTGAATTATGGCCTCCACAGGCAGCTTCAAAGCTGGCTTCAAAGGCAGAAAGAGCTAGTTTAGCAACTGAGCTAGTGAGTTCATGGGTACCTGGGATTCTAGGTTGGTTTGTCATGCATAACAAGCCTAAGGAAATGCCTACCCAAAGAAGTGTTGTTGGAGACCAGGGTAGGATGGTTAAACCTCCTTTGGTGGCTCCAAATAATTGGGTGTCACTGAAGCATCCAAAAACAAAGGAACCAGATATGGTTCCAGTAATTTCTAGGTCCCAAAGGAGGAAGATCTAGTGAAGGTACACTTAGTACCAAAAGGATCTGAAGGAAAGTAGGGAGAGTTCTTCATTGGCCTAGCCAAAGGGCCAGACAGAGGAAAGAGAGAGTCCAAAATTGGACCATAGTCCAAAACCGACTCCTTAGAACAGAAAACGTTTCAGCAAATAGCAGTTGGCTAAAGTTCACTTTGAACTGAAAGCCAAGGAAAGATCCAGCTTAGCAGGTGTTGAAAAGGCCTTGATGGAAAGTGACAGTGAGACAGAAGGAGAAGTTGATCTAGGCTAAAGGAAAGAAATGGTTGAAAAGGAGATATTTGAAGCCTTCATGGCTGAACAGACATTTTTGGTTTAAAAACCAGTAGGAACAGACTATTTGTCACGACCCAAACCCGGCCCTATGGGTTTATCACCGTAACCGGCCAGTAATCTGAGATTACCGAAGGCCTGCAGAACAGTAATACAGTAAAACAGAGTACAGGGCCTGGCGGAAGCCAATACAGTAAATAAATAATGTCCATTGAGCTGTGGCGGTCTATATGAAAAAGACTTTTCATACATTTATATGAAAACAGTACGGAACAGTATGCACAAACGTACAATCATACAGACTAGGGACTCAACCCTACAGAGCAGTACAGTAAACATTCAGTCTATACAGAACAGTACAGTCTATACAATAACCCCAACAGAAAGGAGACAGATAGGGGGAAAACAAAACACCCCAAAGCCATAGCATGGCGACTCGGAACCTCGTAGTGAGGCACAAGGCTGGCTTGACAAAACTGGAGTAACCCTGACGCCTCTAGCCGCGGTCTGGTGCCTGTACACCTACATATATATATGAGCAGTGAGCTAAAGCCCAGTGAATAACATAAAGCGTAAAGAGGTTAAAGAATGAATGTCCTTACAGTATGAAAACAGTTCATTTCAATCAGTCATTCAGTTGTTCAGTACAGTAAACAGTCATATGTGGTACATCCATTAGCATAACAGTAACAGTAGGTCTTAAAAGACCGAACAGTAATGATGACCATCAGTCAGTAAACAGTAGTGGTTCCAACAAGGGAACCGACAGAGAGAGATCAAATTGAGAGAAAATGGTTGCCCCCTTCAACTGATCAAACAAATCATCAATTCTAGGTAATGGATACTTGTTCTTGATAGTCAC